ATAGAATAGAATAGAATAGAATAGAATAATGTAATGAAAAATTAGAATAGAATAGAATAGAATTAGAAATGGAATGGAATGGAATGGAAATGGAAGTAGAGTAGAATAGAATAGAATAGAATTAGAAATGGAATGGAATGGAATGGAAATGGACGTAGAGTAGAGTAGAATAGAATAGAATAGAATAGAATAGAATAGAATAGAATAGAATAAATAGAATAATGTAATGAAAAATTAGAATAGAATAGAATAGAATTAGGAATGGAATGGAATGGAATGGAATGGAAATGGAAGTAGAGTAGAATAGAATAGAATAGAATAGAATAGAATAGAATAGAATAGAATAGAATAGAATAGAAAATAGAGGGATGGGATGGGATAGGAGAGACTTTCCGAATCTTATCCTTGACACAGAAAGCTGGCATATTAAAAGCCCCCAAGGAAATGTCTGTCTAACTCACTCTGGACATTTGGATGCCCAGAATAGACAAAACCAACCCCTGGACGGCCATTCATTCTGTGTACAGCCACTAGGGGGCGGGCTGGTCCCAGGGCTCTGGCGCTGCAGTGGGTGGGGAGCTGGGTGTGGCTGGGAAGGCAGGGAAAATATTTTGTCTGTTTTTCTGGCTCTGTTTTCTCATCCCCCGTTTTCTCAGGAGGCAGAGGAAAACTGGGGGGGGGGCAGGGGGGGTGTTTCCTATGAGTCAGTCCGTCCCACTTGGTTAAGGCGAAAGTCATCTCGGCACCGTCCCAAAATAAATCAGTCAATAAATAAAAATGGGCCGTGCCCTGGCTTTCAAGAGGCCTGAAAAAGCTCAAGAAGTCCCAACAAACTTTTACGGAAAAAGCAAGAGCCTTTTGGGCAACTGGAAGGACCGGCTTCCTCGGATGCTGGGAGGGATAGGCTGAGGTGGGATTGCAATTGGGGTGGGGAGGGGAGCCGCAGTGGGGGGTGCGCGAAAAGGTGGGGAAGACGGGTTAGGTAGGCAGTTGTGGGTTCCCCAAGAGCCAGAGGCCAGCCAGCCGTTTCATATTGTGCAGTTGTTGGCTGGGGTGGTTTGGCAAGTTGAAGTTCAAACATCTGAAAGATGCCAAGATGGAGAAATGCTGGCCTGAATTAATCCTTCCTTCCTTCCTTCCTTCCTTCCTTCCTTCCTTCCTTCTCTTTCTTGGCCTCATTCCCTCCATTCTTGTTCCCCCTCCCTTCTTTTCTTCCTTTCTTCCATCCACTCACCTACTTACCTACATACCTAACTTCCTCCCTCCCTTCCTGTCTTCCCCTCCTCCCCCTCTTCTTTCCTTCCCTCCTCCCCCTATTCTTTCTTTCTTTCTTTCTTTTTTTCTTTCTTTCTTTATTTAATTTTCTTCCTTCCTTCCTTCCTCTCCTACTTCCTTCTTTCTCTCTCTTTGTCTCCCACCTCCATTCTTGTTCCCCCTTCATTCTTTTCTTCCTTCCATCCACTCACCTACCTACCTACATACCTAACTTCCTCCCTCCCTCCCTTCCCGTCTCCCCCTCCTCCCCCTCTTCTTCCGTCCTCCCCCTCCCCTTCCTTCCTTCCTTCTTTCTTTTCTTCCTTCCTTTCCTACTTCCTTCCTTCCTTTCTCTCTCTTTGTCTCCCTACCTCCATTTTTGTTCCCCCTTCCTTCTTTCCTTCCTTTCTTCCATCCACTCACCTACATACCTAACTTCCTCCCTCTCTCCCTTCCGTTCTCCCCTTCCTCCTCTTTCTTCCTTCCCTCCTCCTCCTTACCCTTTCCTTCCTTCCTTCCTATCTATCTATCTATCTATCTATCTATCTATCTATCTATCTATCTGAAAGGGTTTTTTTTCCTACTCAACCTACACAAGGCAGCAGGGAAAGAGGAGAGCCCTGGGTGTTTCTTTTGGCATTTTTCCCATCTTCTGTTCCGTCCCGTCGTGCACATGTGGGGCAGGAAAGCTGCAGGAAAGCAGCTGGCACGCCCTGGTTCTCTTCCTAATCCCAAACCTGCCCTTGGGCATTTCAGACCATTCAGACAAGGAATGGCAGAAACACACACTCACCCCAAAGGGATCTCCTGCGTTCAGCTGGAGGGATGGAGACCTTGAAAAACAAGATCTTTTATTTTCCGGGCGTCCGTGGGGAAGACACCCAACGGTTTCCAGAGGAGGAAGCAAAACAATCTTAAGATCCTGGAGTATTTTCTATAAAACTCTCCACGCACAGATCCGCTCTTCCGCAGCCCCATTGCAAGCAATATTCTTACTCGTCATCAGAGGCTTTAAAGCAGTGTTTCTCAACCTTGGAAGCTTGAAGATGGGTGGACTTCAACTCCCAGAATCCCCCAGCCAGCACTGCTGGCTGGGGGATTCTGGGAGTTGAAGTCCACCCATCTTCAAGCTTCCAAGGTTGAGAAACACTGCTTTAAAACAATGTCTTGAACACCATAACTCCCATTTCCCTCCAGAGACAGCGTGGCTGAGCATTATGGTCTACCTAACTCTCTCTGGTGGTGGTGGTGGTGGGAAGAGAGCTGCGAATGCATGGTTTCGGAAGAGGGGAACTTCGTTCACCTTTGAGCGGCAGATTCAATTTCGTCCCTGCTCTTTTGGGATGCCTGCAGGTACAGCTAGTCCTCAGCTTACAACAGTCCGCTTAGTGACCAAAATTACAACAGCCCTGAAAAAGGCGACTCACGACCATTTTTCACACTTAATGACCGTTGCAGCATTTCCCCCCCCACGGTCCCGTGATGTACATTTCGGATGCTTGACAACAGACTCCCATTTATGACGGTTGCAGCTCTGCAGAAGCGGAAGAAGCTTCTTGGATAAGAAGCGAAACGTCTTCAAAAAAAAAAAAGAAAGAAAGAAAGAAAGAAAAAACCCACAAAGTCCAGTTGCCTTTTTGGGAAAAAAAAGGCACTTTTGGGATAACCATGATCTGGATGACTGAGAATCTCCCTAGACATTTGTGATCAGCAATTCTTCTATTTATCTCTAGCGATATTCAGATCAGGGGTGAAATCCAGCAGGTTCTGACAGGTTCTGGAGAACTGGTAGCGGAAATTTTGAGCAATTTGGCGAACTGGCCAATGCCCCCTCTGGCTGGCTCCAGAGTGGGGTGGGAATGGGGTTTTTGCAGTATCCTTCCCCTGGAGTGGGGTGGGAATGGGGATTTTGCAGTATCCTTCCCGTGGAGTGGGATGGGAATGGGGATTTTGCAGTATCCTTCCCATGCCACGCCCACCAAGCCCCACCACGCCCACCAAGCCACGCCCACAGAACCGGTAGTTAAAAAAAAAATTGGATTTCACCACTGATTCAGATCAGTTCCTTGCAACTGCTCAGGGGAACCTTGCCAGAAAATGAAGAATTTGAAAAGCAGCCCAGAGGGAATTTAAACCGCAAACTATTGGTAGAAATACGGCTAGTGCATTTGGAAAAGCTCTTTGGTTTCTTGCCGATAACATTTTTCAGGGCTGCTGCGGCTTTTTAAAAATGCTGCGAATTTGATGGGGGGGTAGGTGGGTGGGGAGTAGTTTCCTCTTGTGTTTCAGATCGTGAATAGACCCAAACTCTGCCAAGGCCGAGCCTTCAAATCAGCTGAAAATCATGTTTCTTGAGCTGTACCAAAATAATATGGCCCGAAGGCATCGGCAGTAACTGGAAAAGGGGTGGGGGGAGAGAGAGAAATCTAAGCAGTGCCCTACCCACTCCACCTCCCTCTTTCCAGGCCATCGGGACCTGAGTTTTGCCCCCGTGCCCGTGTTCGGATAAGCCAGGGAACGCCTGTTTTTTTCCGATGGAGAGAAAAGAATGCAATTTTTTTCCCCCCTCCCTTTGGCCAGCCTGCAAGAGGCTGGCAGCGGCTCGGGCCCTGCTGACTCACAGGCTGCGGCTCCAAAGCTGCACCCTTGCCAAAGCCTTTGCATTCCTCCTGCAACCCGTCCGATGGGGAGTATCGCTACAGTAGAGGTAGTCCTCGAATTTACGACGGTTCATTTAATGACCGGTCAAAGTGAAAACATCACTGGAGGGGAAAAAAAAAAAGAGAGAGATAGAAACGGTCGCCGTCGTGGCCACGTAATCAGAATTCAAACGACGCTCGGTTCGTATTTACGACAGGGTTTGCCGGGTTCCGATCTCCTCTTCTTGCAAGAAATGTCTATGGGGAAGCCCGATTCGCTTAACAACCGTGGCTAGAAAAGACGTAAGATGGGGACAAAATTCACGTTTCACTTAGCGACGGAAACGTTGGGCTCAATCGCGGTCGTAAATCGAGGACTACCTTGGGCAGAGGGTTGGACTAGATGACCTCAAAGGTCCCTTCCGGCCCTAGGATTCGCTGATAAACAGCTGCAAAAGTCCGACTTATGATGTTACAGGGGGGGTCTACATATGGGTTCTTGAAGGCCATGTAAAGGTAAAGGTTCCCCTCACACATACCGTATTTTTTGGAATATAAGACACACCTTTTTCTCCCCCTAAAAGGGGGTGAAAATATAGGTGCGTCTTATACACCGAATGTAGCCCCGCCCACCCACTGGCCCCCACCCTTTGGCCTCTGCCTTGCAGCAGTTACCACTTTGCAAGCAAACAGCAAGAAAAAACAGCTCTTTTCACCTTCAGCACAGCCTAATTAGCACAAGTTGATTGGATCGGCCTCCCGACTCTCAGCTGATTTGCTCTCAGATGTTTTGCGCAGGGCTCTGCTGCTTGCTGCAAAGAGGTAAATTGCTGGAGCAGATTTTTTTTTTCCTTGTGCTAATCAAGCTATGCTGAAAACGAAACTGAAAGTAAAGCAGGCTGTTTGCTGCAACGAGGCAAAATTGCTCAGAGGCAGAGGGGGATTTCTTTTTCTTCTTTTCCTCACCAAAAAAGGTAGGTGCGTCTTATACTCAGGTGCGTCTTATAGTCCAAAAAATATGGACTAGAAGACTTCTGAGGTCCCTTCTGTTAAGACCGCCACGCGTGTATCTGTGCAAAGGATTCTACAGTGAACAGCCAAGCATGGTTCAGATTGGTAAATACGATATTTATTCCAACGGAAGGATTGTTACAATAACAGAACCACGTTGTGGGACTCGCTCACGAGGCCCTGACTTTATTCGGACTCTCAGCCAAAGGTGGGCAAGCCAGATACCCCCATTGACTCTCCCCATTCCTGCCCCATAGCGATGGGGTGAAGCCTTCTCAGCACCCGGAGGGGAAGTGCCCTCTCCTTCTTCAGCACCCCAGTGAGTGGGTCAACTCTGAAAGGAGTGCGGATCTCACCCCCACCTCTTTGGAAGTGAGAAAGGTGCGCTCTGCAGGTGTAGAATAGGAAATCTGGGCCTTTTGGGGGGAGCAGAAGGACCCAGCCAAGCTAAATAAACAAACAAAAAAAGAAAACAGGTGGACCTCGACTTATAACCGTTTGTTTAGAAGCCATTCGAAGTTACAACAGGCCAGAAAAAAGTGACTTATGATCAGTCCTCGCACTTATGACCATTGCCACGTCTCCACGGTCACATGATTAAACTTTGGGGGCTTGGCAACCAGTATTTAGGATAGTTGTATACAAAGGCCGTAAGTGTGAAAACCCATTTTTCGGTGCCGTTATAACTTTGAACGGTCCCTAAATGAACCGTCATAAATCAAAGGCTGCCTGTACTTGTATTTATGTTTTAAATTTGCATCGTTGTTCTGGTTGCACGCTTGTGGGGGGGAGGTCTTGGCTTCAAGAGGCTGAATTTTCCCTGGGGGTGCAGAAAATAGGAACCATCTCTGGTTATCGGATGGGAGCCAGGCCTGTGCAGCAGATTTAAGGGAATTTACAGGAATAAAAAAAAAAAAATTAAGAGATGCCTCCACCTGAATCTCCCACCCGGGTTCCGTTTTTTATTCCTTGTTTTTTTTTTTTTTAGGAAGAAATGTCCCCAAAATTCTCCCCAACAGCCTCAAGTCATCCCTAGGACAACGTCTGAGCGAGATCGGTAGATTAAAACAAAAATGTGTGTTACAGGTAACAAAATAATAATAATAATATGCATGCCATTTTTGCTGTAGCAATACATTATGATAAAAATGGAGGGGTGTACGGTGGAAAGGAAGTGGATCAAATGTGAGATTTAACTACAGGGGGAAAAAGAAGTTTTAAAAAAAAAAAAAAACAAGTATGGATGGAATAAAAGGAGGCTTGGACTCTGCCTCGTCTTCATGGCGGCTGGAAGCTGAATTAAACCTTGTTCTGCTAATTTGCTTAATAAAGCTAATGTGGGCTTGATGGGTGCTGTTAATATTAAGCTTGCAAGTTGCATCTTTATTTTCACTTCTCTTAAAGCAAGGGGCTAGACCTCAACACGGGAGAGAAACAGTTGGAAAGGTTCTTTTCACTTCCAGAGTGCCTTTTTACTTTTTTTAAAATCCCCTTGATCAGGACAGCGAAAAAAAAAAGCTATGCGAAGTGAAGAAAATGCCTACAAATATATGGCACCAAAATCTGGATGCTTAAAGATTTAGCATTTTGAACTGGTATCTGAAGTCTTCCTCTAAATCTTGTTCCGACATCCTTTAGCCTCTAGATATCTATGGATTTTCCCACCCCTTAGCCTTGTTTTTTTTTTAAAAATAGAAACCTTGTGTTGGGTAATATTTCTCTCTATTCAGTCCTAATTCTAAAGAGGTTAATTGTACACCTTGCCAAATATCCCAATGGCTCAATGGGTGATTTTAAAGGGCCCTGCAAACTATATTGAGATCATTGGTCCATCTCTCAATACCAGGTAAAGGTAAAGGTTCCTCTCGCACATATGTGCTAGTCGTTCCTGACTCTAGGGGGCGCTGCTCATCTCCGTTTCAAAGCCGAAGAACCAGCGCTGTCCGAAGACGTCTCCGTGGTCATGTGGCCGGCATGACTAAACGCCAAAGGCGCATGGAACGCTGTTATCTTCCCACCAAAGGGGGTCCCTATTTTTCTATTTGCATTTTTTACCTGCTTTCGAACTGCTAGGTTGGCAGAAGCTGGGACCAGTAACGGGAGCTCAGCCTGTTACGCGGCACTAGGGATTCAAACCGTTGAACTGCCGACCTTTCGATCGACAAGCTCAGCGTCTTAGCCACTGAGCCGTGAGTCTAAAGCCAGCAGCTGTTAAAAATCCCACGTTTTTTTCAAGAATCTAATGTTGAAGGCTCATCCATTCACGATTTAAGGCTCTTCTGTCTATACCACATGGTAGAGGCCTAAGTGGGATTCCTTAAAATGCATGGTCCTTCAAGGAATTGCAAGGCGTGGCCATCAACTTCAGAAAAGAGACCCCAAAAACACATTGGCTTGTTACTTTGCTCCACAGCTCTCCAGGTTTTTTTTTTTTTAAACTATTGGACACATTTTTTTTCTTGAGATGTCCTTTGCCAAAAGAGAACTCCCAGGATTCTCTGAGTGAAGCCAGTATTAATTTAGATGTCCTAGTTTGGTAGAGTCCTCACCCAGATCTGAAGAAGCAGCTTGGCAGCACCCAGGGTGACATATTCACTCCCCCGGGATCGTCCCCAAAAAAGGTTCTCTAGAGGTTGCAGGAGGTCGAGATGGAGAGGGTTATCCTCAACACCAAATGGAGCTCTCCAGTTGGGTCAAGCACCAAAGGATAGCTCCTTTCCAGACCACCCATGGTCCTTCAGAAGGGATTTGTGCTTCTCTTGATGAGCGAGAACGACATCATTCTTGCAAAAACCGGATGCCCTGCTTTGAGCTTTGAATGTTAAAAGCCACTTTGGCCTTTGGACGGAAAGTCCAGCTTGATGTGAGATCAAGAGCATGGATGCAAACGTAGCACAATGTTTTAGTTTTGGCTGTGCAGTTTTGGGCTGTTCAAGCTTCCCAGTGCTATCATCATCTTCTTTTAAATGACCCCCATCATCCCTTGCAGGGTGGAGTCTGGGCCACCGAATGGAGCAGAGTGTTTTACTGGCCGGATGCCCTTCCTGTCGCCAATGTGGAGTTTTGTTCAGCGGACATATTTTCAGTGTGGGAACCCAGAGAGAGAAATATCTGCCTCTACCTAGGATTGAACTCGCAGCCTCCTGATTGGTGAGGCGAGAGCTCCACCTCTAGGCCACCGCACCACTCAAGCTTCCCATTGCTATGGCGTTAAAAAAAAATAAAAATCTGCACGTTATTTGCAGGTATGTGGTTGAGAGGCAGCTGTTGTGGCACGGAGAGCTTGAAGTTTTCCTAGCCTCAAATATTGGCCTGTAGCCAATGCTGGGACATGTCGGAATGTCTCTTGCTGCTTGATGTGTCGTGCAAGTGAAGCTCCGACTTGACGTTATGGCTTCCTCACTGGATGGAGAGATCCCTGTACCAAATTCCCTAGGAAACCTGCCCTTCCTGCTTTTCCTTCTAACAAAGGCTCCTGTTTCTGGTTTTCTTCCTGCCCAACTTCCTCTCGTTTCCTGTGGCTTTTTTCTCTCTCTCTCTCTTTGAAAGCTGATTTTTAAGACGGACCTTTCTTCAACTCAACTCAACTTCAACTTCTTCCCTGCGACTTTGATGGATTCTCCTGGATTGCAAGCAGTGGTGTGTTTCGACCAGTTTGCCCCAGTTCAGGCAAACTGGTAGCGGCGATGGGAGGCTCCGCCACCCGCCCGGATGTCATCACGGACGCTTTGCGTATGCGCAGAAGCTCCGCGCGCACTCACAGTTCCGAACCGGTAACAAAGGTAAGTGAAACCCACTACTGATTCCAAGGGCCATGTTGTCTTCTCCTTGGCCACTTTCCAAGGGGGGAAGAAAAATATGGGAAAGATCACTTGATCTCCAGAATTGTCCCATCTCGTGAATGCTGGAACACAGCAGCATTTTTAGGGTTGGGAAGGAAAGCGCTTTAGTTGTGCAAGCTAACTGCGGCAGCGAGACAGAGAAGAATTTGGAGGAAAGTTCACCAGCAACTTCTTCTGTGAGCCTTCACGAAAGAGGATGCCTTCGTAAGACCTGATGTGTGAAGTTCTCTAATACTAGGCCTGGTTCTGGCTCCATCTCCATGTGGTCCTCTCCATGGTAGATTTCTCACCGCCTAGTCTTGCTTTGAGAAAGGTCTTCTACAATTAGTCTCTTCTACCAATTCCATCCCAGAAGAAAGAGTGGAGAAATGGAACATCCCTGCTTTAAGCCAGAAGGATCTCATCCTATCTCTTACCTCTGCTACCCCGGAAGGGAAACATCTCAATGACTGATCTATGATCATTTTAGATGCCACCTTCAACCATGGCTTTTGGGATCAACATTGTTTGTGGTTCTGATGGATTGCTTCCAGTCACCTATCTCTGCTCCCCCCCTCCTTATCCATCCATCCTTCCTTCCTTCCTTCCTTCCTTCCTTCCTTCCTTCCTTCCTTCCTTCCTTCCCAAAAGGTGGCCAAAGGCCAGATGGAACGGAGGAAAGATGTTGACCATTTCTAGGGAGACCAAAGATAAAGAAAGCTGGAAGGTTCAGACCATCTTCTGAAGCCTAGGTTGATAGCAGATCTGGCCATGGACTACTAAGAGAAGTAAAACCTAAGATGGGTCTGATGTGGGCTTAGACTGTGGCCTAAAGGAACAGTTGAAACTAGGCATGGAGGAAGTAATATTTGTAGGTAGTTGAGGAAGCCAATGAAGTTGAGCTTGGTTTCCAGGAAGAGAGACCATGTGAGAAATCTAACACTACAGATACTTGGGGTCATAGACATTGTGAGTTCAACTGGCTTAATTCTGCATGAGGAAATAAGGCTTTTTGAGGTGGACAGGAGTCGCTTAAAAGACCAGAAGGGATGGAGAAGTTTGAGCTGGAAGCTTGGCTTGAAGAGAAGAGCAGAAAGCAGATTTCCTATGCGGTGCTCGGCAGCTAGGTGAGGCCTTCATAAGGAATCCAAGCCTGGAAGTTTGCTTCGAGGAAAATTGGAGAAGGCCCAGCACCTCCTGAAGTAGTTCAAGCCTGGTGTTAGGATGAGAGGGGGAGCAAACTCAGGAAGCTGTTTACTCAGCCGAGCCCTTTTGCCGACGCTTGGAAGGGGGAACAAGATGGCGGGGCAGGTCAGAGGGCAGACCGTGACCTTCGAGTTTGACCTCAATGAGGTGGCTGGCCAGAGCGAACTCCTCGTCATCCAACATGCCATCCCGGTCGACGTCGCTCAGCTTCCAAATCTTCCCGAGAACCGAATTGGGCAGCTTGGTGGTGACCATCCAATTCTTGGCCTTAGTGCCGCTTAGCTTGCCATCCATTGGAGAGAGGTTGTAGAAGATCTCGTCATACTTGGGCTTGTCTTTGGTCACGATCCACTCGTCGTCATCCATGCCCTCGTAGGCGCCTTCGGTGGCCCCCTCGACGAAGGGCCCGTTGCGGGTGCCGTCGAAGGCTCCCCCCTGGACGATCTGCTCGGGGACTTCGACTTCCTCCTGGCGCAAGAGGGGCATCAGCTTGGCGATGTCGAGGGTCAGCAACTCATCCAGGGTATCCACCATGCGGGACTTCAGCCCATGGAACTTGGTGAAGTCATGGACCATCAACATCTCCTAGGAAGGAAACCCGGGAAGAAGAGAGATGAAAGCTTCAGCCATTTATCTACCCCAGAATAGCAATCGCAATAGCCCTTAGACTTATAGACTGCTTCTCAGGGCTTTCCGGCCCCTCTCTAAGCGGTTTACAGAGTCGGCATCTTGCCCCTAACAATCTGGGTCCTCATTTTACCGACCTCGGAAGGACGGAAGGCTGAGTCAACCTTGAGCCAGTCAGGATCGAACTGCTGGCAATCGGCAGAGTTAGCCTGCAATACTGCATTATAACCACTGTGCCACCACGCCTTCTTTTCTTCCTTCTCCTTGTTTCCCTTCCTTCCTTCTCCTTGTTTCCCTCCCTCCCACCCTCTCTGACTGTGCAACCCAACATCATAACAACAACAACAATATTATGAGCAAGGCACAGCTCTTGCGCTTATCGTTGTTCCTGATCACGGAGAAAAGCAACACAGATTATTAGTGGATCGAAGGCTAAAACATATGAAGACGGTTACAGGAATTGGGTATGTCTCATTTAATGAAAAGAAGGACTAGGGGTGACATGATGGATGTCTTCCAATATTTGAGGGGCTGCCACAAGGAAGAGGAAGGGGTCAACCTGTTCTCCAAAGCACCTGAAGGCAGGAGAAGAAGCAACGGATGGAAACGAATCAAGGAGAGAAGCAATCTAGAACTAAGGAGAACATTTCCTGACAGTGAGAACAATTCATCAGTGGAACAGCTTGCCACCAGAACTTGTGGGTTCTCCAACACTAGAGGTTTTCGAGAAGTAACCTCAACCATTTGTCCTGAATGGTATAGGATCTCCTGTTCAAACAAGGGATGGACTAGAAGACCTCCAAGGTCCCTTCCAACTCTGTTACTCTATAATCCCTGATTGATTAATCAGCAGAGTGGCGTACCTCCACAATTCGTGGTTGCTCCATCACTGGAGGCTTTTAAGAAGAGGCTGGACAGCCACTTATCCAAAATGGTATAGGCTCTCCTTCATGAGCAGGGGGTTGGAGTAAAGAGGACCACCAAAGGTTCCTTCCAACTCGGTTTGAATGTTGTTCGTCAGATGCCCCTCATCCTCACCTGCATCTTGTCGCAGTCGGGGAAGTCGCCAGGTGAAATATGATGCTCCAGCTGGATCTTGGCAAAGATGACGGGCAGCTTGTTGATCAGCTGTTTCTTCTTGTTGTCCTTGCCAAAGACGGACGGCATCTCCCTCTTGAGGTGGCTGATGATGTGGGAATGGACCTGAGAGGGAAAGGAATCGCAGGAGAAAGAAGCTGTGTGGCCGTGACAAATAAATACATTAAAAGAAGAGGAAGCTGTTCCTGAACAGCCGTGACAAATACCAATCCATCCACTGGGCCATGGTGTCGCAGTGGTTAGAGTGCGGTACTGCAGGCTAATTCTGCTGACTGCCGGGTGACTGCAATTCGGCAGTTCGAATCTCATCAGGCTCAAGGTTGGCTCAGCCTTCCGTGCTTCCGAGGTCGGTAAAATGAGGACCCAGATTGTGGGGGGAGAAGATGCTGACTCTGTAAACCCCTTAGAGGGGGCTGCAAAGCACTGTAAAGCGGTATATAAGTCTAAGGGCTATTGCTATTGGTATCTTTGTCTGTCTGTCTGTCTGTCTGTCTGTCTGTCTGTCTGTCTGTCTGTCTGTCTATCTATCTATCTATCTATCTTATCTACCTACCTACCTACCTACCTATCATCCATCTATCTATCTATCTATCTATCTATCTATCTATCTATCTATCTATCTTATCTACCTACCTACCTACCTATCTATCTATCTATCTATCTATCATCTATCTATCTATCTATCTTATCTACCTGCCTACCTACCTATCATCTATCTATCTATCTATCTATCTATCTATCTATCTATCTATCTATCTATCTATCTATCTATCATCTATCTATCTTATCTACCTGCCTACCTACCTACCTACCTACCTACCTACCTACCTATCTATCTATCTATCTATCTTGAGCCACAGTGTTATTGTGGGGGAGGGAACAAAGAATTATTGGTATGGGCACGCACACAGGCAACTCCCTGTGCTCCCCCCGACTTTTGGCACGTGATGGCGAAAAGGTTAGCCATCAGTGGTAGAGGGTCTCCTGCTGAGCAGGAGGTTGGACGAGAAGACCTCCAAGGTCCCTTGCAACTCTGTTCTCCTGTTAAATTCAAAGTTACACCAAGGAGGGGGACTTGTAGATTTCTTTGATGTGGTTTTCTGTTGAAACGCCACCCCCCCCTCACCACGAGGAGCATTAAAATTGGATCGGCTCCTTTTCAAAATTAATCGCTGAATGGATTGGGATCCAGTCCATTTCATTCCAGTTCGCAGTTACACAACGTTTAATTGAGTTAAGCATCTGCATTTTGAGCACAATTAGTCTGCGGCTGATTTTAAACATGCCTGCAAAATTGCTATTGAATGTTGTCATTGTTATGAAAGGACGTACAAAACTATCCGCAGTTCAGCAAACGAGATGAACCAGTTTTAGTTCGGTTCACTTGCTAGGAACAAGCCTCTCGTACAGAGAGAGAGAAAGAGAGTCAAAGCTGGAGAATGGCTGGGGAAGGTGGGTTTATCCCACTGTTTTTCCAATTTGACAACTTTAAGAGATGTAGACTTCAACTCCCAGGATCCCCCAGCCATCATGCAAGTTTTAAGTTTAAGATGGGTGGATTTCAGCTCCCAGAATTCCCCAGTTATCATGCAACATTAAAATGAGTGGATTTCAGTTCCCAGAATTCTCCAGCCAGCATGCAACTTTAAGATGATTAGACTTCAGCTCCCAGAATTTCCCAACCAGCATGAACATTGATTCCCCGATTTGAAATGCACACCTCTTAAAATTGCCCAGTTTGAAAAAAAAAGTGAGCTAGGGCCTCTAGATCAGGGTTGAAACCCTGAAGATCATCCATCAATCAATCTACATCGTTCTGAGCTAGAGGAGCCGAGACTCGGACTCATCCTGGAGAGGCTTTCTATGATTCTGCCACCATGGAGAACCAGGTCAAACGGTCTTTTCTGAGCTGGCTCCGGTTCATAATTAGCTGGTCAAAGGACACAATTGGTCCCTTGGTGGAGACAAAAACGATGGACGGCTCCCTTTGCGAGAAGGGCGGATGTCACAGCTAGGAAATGATGCAACCTAAGGAGCGAACTTCGTGCGTAATATTTTTCCTCTCTCTCCTTCCTTGGCTTCTTTTCCAGGAATGACCAAGCAACAGCCATACCTTTAATCAGGGCTACAGAAGGTGCGACCTCATTAGAAACACTTAATTGGAAAACCAGAGCAGAAGGGAAGGAGAGAGAAGAGAGGAGAGAGAGAAAGACATAAGAAAGAGAGAGAGAGAAAGAGGAGAGAGAGAGAGGAGAAAGAAAGAAAGAAAGAGAGAGAGGGGGAAAGAAAGAAAGAGAGAAAAGAAAGAGAAAGAGAAGAAAGAAAGAGAGAGAAGAAAGAAAGAGAGAGAAGAAAGAGAGAAGCGAGAGAGAAGAAAGAGAGAGAAGAAAGAGAGAGAGAAGAAAGAAAGGGGGAAGAAAGAGAGAAGAGAAAAGCAGGGAGAGAAGAAAGAAAGAGGGGGAAGAAAGAAAGAGAAGGAAGAAAAGTGAGGGAGAGAGAGAAGAAAGAGAGAAGAAAGAAAAGAGAAGAAAGAAAGAGAAGACAGAAAGCGAGAGAAGAAAGAAAGCGAGAGAGAAGCGAGAGAGAAGAAAGAGAGAGAGAGAAGAAAGAGAGAGAGAAGAAAGAAAGAGAGAGAAGAAAGAGAGAAGCGAGAGAAGAAAGAGAGAGAAGAAAGAGAGAGAGAAGAAAGAAAGGGGGAAGAAAGAGAGAGAAGAAAGAAAGAGAAGGAAGAAAAGTGAGGGAGAGAGAGAAGAAAGAGAGAAGAAAGAGAAGAAAGAAAAGAGAAGAAAGAAAGAGAAGACAAAGCGAGAGAGAAAGAAAGCGAGAGAGAAGCGAGAGAGAAGAAAGAGAGAGAGAGAGATGAAAGAAAGAAAGAGAGAAAGAAAGAGAGAGAAGAAAGAGAGAGAGAAGAAAGAGTATGGGAAATAGGAAAAGGGACCCATAAACAGATTGTACTCTGCAGCACAATGCAGACTTCCTTTGTGGGGATGTAGCCATTGTGGACAACAGGAAAAGCAGCAATAAAGGCAGGGACCCCAGCAACAGCCTTCTCCAATGGGAAGGAGGGAGGCCCCCTGTCCAGGAAGGGGAGAGATTTAAGGGAAGGAGCCCTGGTGGTGCAACGTAGTATTGCAGGATAACTCTGCTTATTGCCAGCAGTTCGATCCTGACCAGCCCAAGGTTGACTCAGCCTTCCATCCTTCTGAGGTGGGTCAAATAAGGACCCAAAATTGTTGGGGGCAAGAGGCTGACTCTGTAAACTGCTTAGAGAGGGCTGGAAAGCACTGTGAAGCGGGATATAAGTGCTATTGCTACCTTCCTTCCTTCCTTCCTCCCTCCCTCCCTCCCTCCCTCCCTCCCTCCCTTCCTTCCTTTCCTCTTCCCTCCCTCCCTCCCTCCCTCCCTTCCATGGTGCCCAGTGGTTAGAATGCAGCATTGCAGGCTAATTTTGCCCACTGTCAGGAGTTCGATCCTGACCGACTCAAGGTTAACTCAGCCTTCCATCCTTTTGAACTTGGTAAAATGAGGACCCAGATTGTTGGAGGCAAGAGGTTGACTCTGTAAACTGCTTAGAGAGGGCTGGAAAGCACTGTGAAGCGGGATATAAATGCTATTGCTACCTTCCTTTCTTCCTTCCTTCCTTCCTTCCTTCCTTCCTTCCTTCCTTCCTTCCTTCCTTCCTCCCTCCCTCCCTCCCTCCCTCCCTTCCTTCCCTCTTCCCTCCCTCCCTCCCTCCCTCCCTCCCTTCCATGGTGCCCAGTGGTTAGAATGCAGCATTGCAGGCTAATTTTGCCCACTGTCAGGAGTTCGATCCTGACCGGCTCAAGGTTGACTCAGCCTTCCATCCTTTTGAAGTTGGTAAAATGAGGACCCAGATTGTTGGAGGCAAGAGGTTGACTCTGTAAACTGCTTAGAGACGGGTGGAAAGCACTGTAAAGCGGTATATAAGTCTAAGGGCTATTGTTATCTTCCTTTTTTTTCTCCTTAACCGAATTGCTTTGTTTTCCTGTCACTGTGACTGACGGCCTCGTCTTTATTTTCTGCATGCTGAAGGAAAGTTTTCTTAATGCCCAGGACATATTTTGCCCTCCGGTTCCACTGGAATGCAAATCTTCTACCTGTGGTCAAGAAGGATTCAGCAGAAGATTCATCAGTACAATGGAAGCCTTCATGGGCTAAAGGAGTGGTGCGTTGGCCTAGAGGTGCAGCTTCTTGCCTCACAATCAGGAGGGAGGCTGTGAGTTCGATCCTAGGTGGAGGCAGATATTTCTCTCTCTGGGCATCATGAGAATATATCTGCTGAACAAAACTCCGCCTTGGCAACAGGAAGGGCATCCGGCCAGTAAACGCTCAACTCCATTCGGTTGCCCAGACTCCACCCCAATGCAAGGGATTATGGGGTCATTAAAAGAAGATGAAAATGGAAGCTTTAATGGGCAAAGGCTGATTTTTTTTTTCTTTTCTTCTTTCGGTAGAACAGAGTACAGGTCTTCCTCGACTTACAACCATTCGTTTAGCGACCGTTCCATTTAACAACGGCCCTGAAAAATGGCACTTTGGTCCTCACCCTTACTGGTCCTCGCAGCATCCTCAAGGTCACGTGATCAAAAATTTGGGCACTTGGCAACCAGCAAGGATTTAACAAGGGTTGTAGCAATCCCAGATTTATGTGACTGCTATTGGTGAGCCAGCCGGCTTCTGACAAGCAAAGCTGGATTGGCTTAAGGACTGCGCGATTCACTCAACTACCGGCGTGACTCGCTTAACAACGGGGGCTTAAAAAAAAGTCCTAAAATCAAGCGCAACTCACTGAACGACTCGCTTGCTTAGCGATGGAAATTCTGCTCCTAATTGTGGTCGTAAGTCGAGGACTAGCTGTATGTTCTTAATGACGTTGGTCTGTGTCACTAACCATCTCGCTGAAAAAGTGGCTAGATGACTCTTCCTGCCTTTTTCCTTCCTTTTTTTTAGCTTCTTCCTGCCTTTTTCCTTTTTGCTTTTCCTTCCTTCATTTAATTTCTTCCTGCCTTTTTCCTTCCTCCTTTCAGCTTCTCTCTGCCTTTTTCCTTCCTGTCTTTTTCCTTCCTTCTTTTAGTTTCTTCCTGTCTTTTTTCTTTCCTGCTTTTCCTTCCTCCTTTCAGTTTCTCCCTGCCTTTTTCCTTCCTCTTTTTCCTTTTTGCCTTTTTCCTTCCTTCTTTTAGTTTCTTCCTGTCTTTTTTCTTTCCTGCTTTTCCTTCCCCCTTTCAGTTTCTCCCTGCCTTTTTCCTTCCTCTTTTTCCTTTTTGCCTTTTTCCTTCCTCCGTTTAGTTTCTTCCTGTCTTTTTTCTTTCCTGCCTTTCTCCTTCCTTCTTTCAGCTTCTCCCTTCTTTTTCCCTTCCTGCCTTTTCCCTTCCTTTTTTTTTTAGCTTTTCCCTTTTTTCCTTCCTTCATTTAATTTCTTCTTGCCTTTTTCCTTCCTCCTTTTAGCTTCTCCCTTCCTTTTTCCTTCCTCCTTTCAGCTTCTCCCTTCCTTTTTCCTTCCTCCTTTTAGCTTCTCCCTTCCCTTTTCCTTCCTACTCTTTTTCCTTCCTCCTTCCCGCTTCCCACCACTTACCCTGACCAATCGGGCTCTCTTGACCAGGTCATTGAGCTTCCTCAGGGCAGAATTTCGGGGCAGGTTCTGGATGTCCGTGAACAAGTCCTGCTCCTCCAGCTCAAAGAGCCGTCGGTTGTCAGAGATCATCAGGGGCTCCGACCAGAAGGACCCGATGTAGACACGCAGCACTTCGGGGGTGTTGAAAACTTTGCCCAGCGACCACATCAGGGCGCCGTAGACCCGCATCAGCTGCTGTGTCTCCACCATGTCGGCCTTGTTCAGGACCACCCGGATCTTGTCCTCGTTGCCCTTGAGGGCCCGGATGGCCTCGGAGAACTCGTCGGAGATCTCCAGCTTGTGGGCGTCAAAGAGCAGGATGATGAGGTCCACACGCTCGGCAAACCACTGGAGCACGGCCGGGAAGTCGTAACCTGTGAAGGAAAGAAGAGCCTTGGGGAATAAGAGGTCGTTTTCTATACCCATTCAAAGCCCAACACGTTTTTAATCCTCCCTTTTCATCTCCTGAAGCCTAGCGCTCTCTACGGGAGAGGCCTACAACTTTGGCAACTTTGAGACTTGTGGACTTCAACTCCCAGAATCCCTTTGAGACTTGTGGACTTCAACTCCCAGAATCCCTTTGACACTAGTGGACTTCAACTCCCAGAATCTCTTTGACACTTGTGGACTTCAACTCCCAGAATCGCTTTGAGACTTGGGGACTTCAACTCCCAGAATCCCTTTGAGATTTGTGGACTTCAACTCCCAGAATCCCTTTGACACTTGTGGACTTCAACTCCCAGAATCCCTTTGACACTTGTGGACTTCAACTCCCAGAATCCCTTTGACACTTGTGGACTTCAACTCCCAGAATCCCTTTGAGACTTGTGGACTTCAACTCCCAGAACCCTTTTGAGACTTGGGGACTTCAACTCCCAGAATTCCTTTGAGACTTATGGACTTCAACTCCCAGAATCCCTTTGAGACTTGTGGACTTCAAGTCCCAGAACCCTTCTGAGACTTGGGGACTTGAACTTCCATAATTCCTAATGTAGAAAGTTAGCACCCACCCCTTTCCTCGAAGAATGAAATATTTTGAGGAATATTTTAAAAAGGTAGGATAAAATATTTCCCCTAAAAGAGAAATTAAAAAAAATCTTAAGGGAGACAGAAACTCAGAGGCCCAGCTCCCTGCCCCCAGCAGATATTTGGTGTCCATTGGGAAAGACTGGGCCATCCTATCTACAAGACAAAAGACCTTCAGCTCCAGGGTGAAGGGATTAAGACATGACCCTTCAGGACATAATAGGATTAACCCACTAAGACATAGAGCTCAGTACATTGCACAATCTTCTAAGGGCATTGCATCAGTGTCCAAACTTCAACCAAACTTAGCTCAGCCAACCTATACAGCCAACTATGACCCCTACATAACCCCTACATGACCCCATGGGAGTCTGACAACAGCCAATAGAATACATGTTCTTGCACAGGAACAGGAAGCTCAAGTGCAAAGCCCAAGAGAAGGTATAAAAGCCACCCACTCTCAACTCCATGTGGTCAGCTGCACCAGAACCATGCTTCCAGTGACTTTCTCCCGACTTGGAACTGAACCAGATGGATCTTTCTTCCCACACTTCAATTCTGGGAGTTGTATTCCATAAATCATAAAGTGGGTAAGGTGGGAGGCCTCTGCTGTAGAGCACTAGGCTTCAGGGGATGAAAAAAAGAAGAGTAAAAACACGAAAAAACAAATAGAGAGAAAAGATGTGTGGAGCCTTCTTGGAAGTGTAGAAAGGATTGTGTTGTAGACTGGAGATAGGTGATGTCGTATCCCTCCCCACTCTGGGCTCCACACCAGTGGTGGGTTGCCCCCCGGTTTGGACCGGTTCGCAAGAACCGATAGTAAAACCGGTGGGAGGCTCCACCTACTGACCCAGACGTCATCAAAGTTGATCTGCACATACGCAGAAGCTTCGCTCTGTTGTGGCCCGCCAGCGGCCTGTGCGGATTGTAGCTGATTCCGACAGCGAGGAGGCTGGTGTGGTGCTGTGCCAGCAGCCTGTGCAGCTGCCACTCGAGTCGGACAGTGAGGAGGCTGGAGAAGATGTGGTGCCAGAGACGGGGATTCAGCCAGGGCCTTCAGAACCTCCAGAAGCTCCCATAAGTGAAGAGGACGAAGAGGAGGAGCTTCTTATCGATGCACGGGCGCACAGAGCTGCCAAAAGGCAGGAGTGGCTCCTCAGGAGGTGGTCTCCTCGAGAGTAAGGCTTGGGGCTAATTGGCCACTCCCTTAGCCTATTTAAGGAGGAACACCGACTGAAGCAAGTTGCAGGGAACAACTTAAGTTCATTCTCCTTCGCGTCTGGATCTCTGTGAATTGCTTCTGAGCTTTCTGCCAACCTTAGTAAGATTGTGATTATTTTATCTTTGTTTTCTTGTAGGCTGTTAAGGAAGTTTATTAACAGCCTTTGTTTGGAAAAGACTGAGTTATTTTAGTAAATTGCGGGACCGCCTTCTGCCGTCAATAGCCTCCCACCGACCAGTACGCTCCCACAGAGAGGGACTCCTCAGGGTGCCGTCAGCCAGGCAATGTCGGCTGGCGACCCTCAGGGGCAGGGCCTTCTCTGTGGCAGCTCCTGCCCTCTGGAACAATTTGCCCCCGGAGATACGAAAGATATCGGATCTCCGGGTCTTTCGCCGTGCCCTGAAAACTTTTCCATCAAGCAGGGCTGGCGTGAACCCCCTCCCCCTTTTTTTACTCTTTTTTAGTTTTTAAATTGTCATTGGGTTTTAATTGAATTGTTTTAAATTTGGGCCAGTTATGTAATTCTTTTAATAATTTTAAATTTTGTATTGGTATGTGTTTTAGTTCTGGCTGTGCACCGCCCTGAGTCCACTAGGAGAAGGGCGGGATACAAATTGAATAAAATAAAATAAATAAATTTAGGTTTTGTACAAACTTTGTGCGTGCTGTGTTCCTTGGGGTTCGTAGCTGGGGCAGGGCACGCAAAGCACAATGCAAACCGGTAGTAAAGGTAAGTAGAACCCATCCCTGCTCCACACACCCATTGGCATCCCTCAGGTGAGCCTGAAGAGTTAACTAGCCAGGAGCAAAAGTTAGCTCGACTTGATGGAGCAACTCAGTCTCCGCGTCTGTTTAAAAACAAAAAACAACAGAGCCGACTTTTGTTTAGATAGAGCAAAGAGGAGGGGGAAAAAAAAAAGCACACAACAAGACCGTGTTCTGGTACAGTTCCTGGATCCCCCTCTTCCTGTCCCATGAAGCAGATTTTCCATGGACTGGACTCGGCTCCCTCCCTCCGTCGGATCTAAACAAGCTTGGCGTTGGAGCTGAGCCACCGACCGGGGCTGTTCCTGCCTGCCTCTTGGCAGCTGAGGTTCAGAGGGCCTGCTTCACAGCACCAAAAAAGGAAACCGACTCCGTCCATAGGAAAGTGTGAGCCAAGGGCCTCATTGTTCTGAGCGATTAAAGAAAAACTCATAAAGATGGGAGATCTAAATAAGTGGGAAGGAGGAGGAGGTGGGGGGGGAAAGGGTTGGCCGGGCAGCCTTATCTCGGTCCACCAAAAGGATTCTCAAGCCTCAAAGGGAAACCGAGGTTGACAAAGGTCAACCTAAATCATGGTGAGTGTTTGGCTCCAGCGGAAGAATCTGGATTCCTCTCCCTCGCAAGATTGAGACGCAGAAGGTCTCTGGGATTGAAGGAGAAACTTCCTAACAGCAAGGACAATCAATCGACCGGTGGAACGGCTTGCCACCGGAAGTCGTGGGTGCTTCATCACTGGAAAAGAGGGGGTCAAATTATTCTCCATAGCATCAGAGGACAGGACGAGAAACAACGGACAGAAACTAACCACGGAGAGAAGCAACCTGGAATTGAGGAGAAACTTCCTAACAGGGAGGACAATTAACCAGTGGAACAGCTTGCCACCAGAAATTATGGCTGCTCCATTACTGGAGGTTTTTTAAAAGAGATGGGAATAGCCACTTTGAGACAAGTGGCTATTCCCGTCTCTTTTTAAAACCCTCCAGTAATGTATGTAGTGTGTAAGGTCTTCCTGCTTGAGCAAGGGGCTGGACTAGATGACCTCCAAGGTCCCTTCCAGCTTTACTCTGATTGATTGATTGATTGAGAGGTTGAAGGCACAGCTCTGGGTATGTGCGCGTTGTGTTCTCCCTACACTACTCAAAAGATGAATCCCGGTGGACTCATGCTGTTGGAACTCAAGAGAGGAAGAAAGGGAACCTAAGGATGAATATGATAGTTTCCAAGAAGGCTGGAGCTGGACTTTTAGCAAATCAACATTTCTGGACCAGGAGACTTTGCAGGAAATGGAAAGCACAGTCACTTCAGCCTTTGTCGTCAGAAACGGCGTTTCCTTTTGTCTTTTGAAAACGGCAGGTTTTTTTTGTGTACGCAAATCTCTAGGTAGGCCAACAATACGAGGAGGATATTGTTTTAACATTCCTTGCAGATGGCAAGTTTCCAAAGGCAAATTTCTGGCTCGTTCGGCAGCAGAATTCGCATTGTGGCCAGCCTGCAAGAGCCCACACTGCGGGCGGACTGACCCACACATCAATGCCAGACCTTGGGGGTGGGGGGGGGAGGCAGAAAGTTTTTGGATTCCAGACAGTTCAAGTGGCACGAAGCAGAAAGATTTGGACTCAGGAAGGGTATTTGAGAAGCAATCCTATGCTGGGAAATGTTTTTTCCTTTTACATTTTCTTCACTCATATAATAGGAAGAGGAGGGGCAAAAAGAGATAGTCCTCGACTTATGACCACAATTGAGCCCAACATTTCTGGGGCTGACAGTCGTTCAGTGAGTTTTGCCCCGTTTTACGACCTTCCTTGCCACCGTTGCTAAGCGAATCACTGCAGAGATTAAGCTAGTAACACGGGTTGTTAAGTGAATCTGGCTTTTGTTTGTCAGAAGGTCACCAAAGGGGGATCGCGTGACCCTGGGGTCACAGCAACCGTCATAAATACGAGTCAGCTGCCAAATGTCTGAATTTTGATCAGTTGAGCAGCTGCAACGGTCATAAGTGTGAAAAATGGTCCTAAGAATTCACTTTTTTCCAGTGCCGTTGTAACTTCAGTCACTAAATGAGCTGTTGTAAGTTGAGGGCTACCATTAATGCTTCCAAATGGATGGTATGGAGACTTGACAGGGAAAAATATTTAGTCTTAAAAGAAAAAGAAAAAAAACCTGAAGGTTTTATACCCATCCCACAAAATAAAAATATTTAGGGATGAGAAACAAAACCAGAACATGCAGTCATTAGACGTAACAGTATAACTTTGTGCAAACATTTATCAACAAAGACGTGCCAAGCACATTAGGACTGGCTGAAACCAGTTACAAAGTTTATAATAGGACACAGCTGGTTTATAAAAGACAGAGGTGAAT